CACACACACACACACACACGTGCATGCACGCACACAGACACGTGCGCTCACACACACACACACACACACACACACATACACACACACACACACACCCATGCAAATGCACTCCATTCGAAAAAGCCACCAGTCAGTCAGTGACAAATAAATACAATCCCCAATTACATCCAGTAATTTATACAACGTTGCCAACGCAAGGACCGGCAATAAGATGGATCAAAGGATGCGCCACTGCAATCTATGTACAGGGAACATGGACGGCTTGTATGGACTTGTCTTTGCTTTGGGCTTGAGTTATCTTCTCTTACTGTATGAAGACAACAAGCCTATAATCAGCAAGTCCCGTCAAGAAATCACAGAGAATCAGCTGTAACTGCTGTTGGCGTTATCATGGTTATAGCGATGGTGGTGGTAGTAGTTTTAGTGGTGGTGGTGTGGTGGTGATTGCAGAGGTAGTTTTGGTGGTGGTGGTAATGGTGGTGGCTGATGTGATTCTGGTAGTGGTGTGTGTTTGTGTATGTGTGTGTGTGCGCACGTGTGTGTGTGTATGTTTGTGTGTGTGCGATTGTGTGTACGTCTGTGTGTGCGTGTAAGTCCATGCGAGCTGGCTGTCTTGTTCCTGCTACTATCGCTGCTTCTGTTGATCTGTGTTGCTGCTGCTGCATTTGTAGATTCCAAAACATATAACTTTGTACGAATTTAAAACATACGTCAACATAATACATGTACTACTTCTTTTAACGACAGAGACATATAGTATATTTTAAAGAAATCCAAAAAAAATCTAAGACAATTAGATCTTGGTGGTCCTACCTTGAAGATATCTGATGAAGACACACATGAAACTCCCAAAAACGAAATCCATGAGCAAAACCGGCACGAGTGTGAAGGGCATGCAGACGAGAGCCAAAAGTAGGTCACTGATGGCCAGGTTGAGAAGAAACACGTTGGTCACAGTTCTCATCCGCTTGTTCTGGATGAGGGTGATGATGATGAGGAGATTGCCCACCAAGGCTAGCACAAAGATGATGGAATAGAGAGCGATCTGAATCTCAACACTGAGTCGTGGCAGGTTGTAAGGAGGCACTTCTGTGACGTTTCCTACAGAAGAATTACTGTCGTTCATGTCTAAGCCGAGGAGAGTACTGAGGTTGAAATTTTCCTCTATGAAAACCGTGTTGTTGTTGTTATTGTTGTTGTTTGCGCTGGCTTGTAGGACGGGCGTGACAGCGGGAGTCTGGAATATACTGCTGTAATCCCCGTTGACGTCATCATTATTAGTGAACGTCTCGTTTTGGAGTGATGCGTACTCGCTTTCGCTAACGTCGTACGTTAAAATGTTTGCCATTTCCGTCGTTTTGCTGTTGAGTCTGGGGTCCGGGGATTTCTCCCTGGCATTCCTCGAGACGTCTCCTAGGACTGCCATACTTCCGATAGGAGAGTTTCGATAATAAATATTATTTTAGTGGAAAAGGGAGGAGGGGGGACGATGTCTAACTTGGATTACAGACTTCAAATTAAATTATAAAACAGAAAGGGTTTAATATATTTATCATGTACAGCACTCAAAGTTAAACATACGCTTATTTTCTTTTCCACTGTTGCTCTTGTCTACTAACTATATTATCTTGCCAGTTGTCACTGTATTAGATTTCCTGTTATCGTTTCAGGTTACTCCGCTTTACTCACGCCAAAGTCTGACAGAGTGTATGAAGTATTGACGATCCAATGAACGCTCAAAAGTGATTACCGAGAATGGTTCTCAATAAGGAAGACGATGCCAAAGAAGTTTCTAGGAATTTCGAAAGACAAGAAAAAAATATATATGACAACCTAACTTCTAACCCACGTCTCTTTGTCTTTGTCGCTATGTTAAATAATAAGCTGCAGAAACTGCTGGGTTGCTAGGAAAGCATTTTCCCCGTCTATGAAAACATCACTTTCTTTCAGCGTCACTGTTTTCTTTATTGTGTTTGCTACTAAGTGGTAGTAGAATTGAAAGAACTGGCTGGATTACCTACCAAGAGAACGTTGTCAAATAGAAGCCTTTGTTGATCCCCGTCAGTTCAAATGGTAGAGCCTGAGCTGGGGAGGTGATAAAAGGGAGATTAAGATTAGGGCTAATGTTGTCACTCTTTTGCTGGTTTACTGAATGTTCTAGAATGTTTAGTCTACAGATAATAAAATTGTTATTGTAAAGATTACTGTGGGTTTGTTGTGCTGTTTTATAGATGTTGTTGATGTGTGTGTATGTGTGATTGTTTGTTTGTTTGTTTGTTTGTATGTGAGTATGTGTGTGTGTGTGTGTGTGTGTGTGTGTGTGTGTGTGTGTGTGTGTGTGTATGTGTGTGTGTGTATAGATGTCTACTTATAGGCTGCAATACCTGGAAACACAAGTCTTTACCGTTGTTAATGTTGTTGTTACTGTTGCTGTTGTTGATGCTGTAACTGTTGTTGTTTTTCTTGCTTGTGTTGTCGTTGTCGTCGGCGGCGTCGGCGTCGTTGTCGTTGTTGCGGTTGTTGTCGATGGTCGTTGTATTTTATTTTTCTTATTGCTGCTGCTGTTGTTACTATTATCATTGATATTGTTGTTGTCCTTGTTGTTGTTGTTGTTGTTGTTGTTGTCGTCGTTATCGTTGTTTTGTTTGGTTTTGGGGTGTTTTGGGGTGTTTTCTTGTTGCTCAGGGAGGTTGGGGGGTTGGTTTTTGGGGGGGTTTTTTAAATCTCATTTTGCATCGTCCTTAAATTTTCCCCTAAACATTACCCTTGCTATAAGCCCTCAGAAACACTTCCACTTTTGGACTTCTTACCTCCTTCGATCCTTCAATGTCCATGCTTAGTTCTTATAATTATTTGAGTTTCCAGAAACAAGATAACCATTATTCCCCACCCCATTCATCAACCCCAAATCCCACAGAGAAGGGG